TGAAGAAACAGCTTTGCAGCATTAAAAAATTAGTTAAAAATCACATGGTTAGGTGATAGTGGCTGAGTTGGGATTTGATCCTAGGCTTTTAAACGTTTTACTACATTGCCACTCATTCCACCATTCTTGATGTCTGGAGACTGTCATATCCTGTTTCTTTTGGAAACTTAAAAATAAGACAAAACCAAACACAGACCTCTTATCCAATGAGTTCTGTGCCAAGCACTTTGCTATTCATCATCTCATTTAATTTTCTCTCTAATACACTGGACTAGGTGTTTGATCATTATTTTAAAGGTAAAAGGACTGAGAAAGATTGACAACTTGCCCAATGTCACAGATCACTGAATCCTAAGAGAGCAAGATGGATACTCCATCGCCCAGATGGATACTCCACAGAACTGATGCTGAACAAACATGAATGAAGTATGGTCTTGCCTTCCGTGAACTGAGGGTCTAATGAGAAATGTGGGCATGGCCAAAGATCATCACGGGGGAGTGTGGAAAAGACAGAGAATGATGGATTTTGTTGGCAGGGACACAAGGAGGGGGATTTCATTGAAGATGACATTTGATATAGGGTTTAAAGGAAGAACGGCTACTCAGTAGTGTGGAAATAGATGAATTCCCTGGAATGTCACCACACATTAGCCATTTTGGACTGGGCTACATCTAAATTGGAACCAGTTATATAAGCATCATTTCATGCTCTCAGCAGAATGGCATAAAGGAAAATTCCCAGTTGATTTTCCCCAATCTGCTTCTTTTTTTACTCAAGCAAAAACGCTAAATTTGGGATGCATGACAAATTTTGAAATAGTGACCATCTTACACCATGCTGCATAAATGGTGCTGATTTTAGCCGACTATAACACTTTGCCATCTTTTGTGAGGGACACCCCTTTCTCCATTTAGAGAAGCCTCGGAGTTAAGGCAAAGAGGTCATTATTGCCTCCCAATGTTTTTTGACCTTCTAGTGAGAAGGAGGACATGTTAAAGAGACAAAGAGAATGAAAGGAAAAAGGATTTTTGAATATCAGGTTAATGTTGACCCTCTCCTCATCTTGTCGAGAAAGAAACAATTTCAGAGGGCCAAGTGATGATGCCCTCACTTCTTAAAGGGTTGTCACAGAGATGACAATTTCCATGCCACATCTGCCTAGACTCCAGCAACAGGGCTAATAACTGAGCCTATGACCTGAACTGACTAACCCATGTCCTTGCCCAGACTTCTCTGATCTGATCCGAGATGGGGCAGTTTCCCCCTCAAATTGGGAACTATAAAACTATGTCCCTTAATATTGGGGAGAGTGGAAGATAAGGAGACCAATGCCAATAAAAGACAGAATCATGATCCTGAGACAGTGTTCGTAGGTTAAACTTTAACCATCAGGTAATTTCAACCCTTACCTTTGGTGCTTTGGTTAAATGAATCTTTTCTTTTTCCTATGATGGTTTGAATGGGATTCCTGTCACTTGAAAACCAGAGTAACATATAGATGCAATGAAGTCTAAGAGGAGGTACCAACTTGTGGGGCTGAGGTTACCCAGACAGAGGGAGAAACAGGGAAGCTGGATAAGAAACAACAAAGGTACCTCGTGAAGAAAACACCTTTAAAAAAACCACCTTTCATTTATGTGTGCCTGGTTGTGCCTTTGCATGGAAATGATGATGTATTATGGAATGTGGGGAACACAACTCCTACCTCATGCTTAAAATCCATTCTTAGAGCTTCATTACTCTAGCTTAAGACTTTGATCCCTGCTAGATGCAAGAATACATAGTAGAGAAATCCTTTAAATTCCCCTAAATGACTCACACTTCAATTTGAGCAAAGTATAGAATCTTTCCTAAAAATAGGTTGGGTGATTGGGAGAAGGGACCACACCACCATCAGGTCCTAAGGGAATGGAGGCTAGTGGTGTGTCTAAAGCACAAAATAGTCTGGTGGAGCTCAAGGATAGGTCTCCCTTGGTTACTGCCCAGTTTTGCTTGGTGTTGGCTTTGAGAAATTCTATTGTTATTCTGTATGGCAAGGAAAGCAACCTCAGTGAAAGATGTCATTGTTTGTTTATGTTTAAAGCTTTTTAGTTGTTGATGGACCTTTATTTTATTTCTTTATTTATATGTAGTGCTGAGAATTGAACCCAGTGCCTCTGCTAGGCAAGCACTCTACCACTGAGCTACAATCCTAGCCCTCTGTTATTGTTTATTTTAAGAAGATAACATAGTTATGTAAGTCAAATACTCCTCTGTGCCTTTGCAAAGTAGCTTCTACAACTGTCGTAATGAATCATGCTAAGTATCTGTGAATGCTCCATGTGTACAATTTAAATCAAGACTTTCACAACCACCATTGTTAACTTTGTCCTCAAGAAAATAGCAGACCTTTTACTATTTGTTTGAAAAACCTGCAGAAGGTGTTGCAGAGGCGTCAGCAAATCAACAGAGTTATACTTTCTAGTTACAGCACATGCTTTTTGCCATAGACATCAAAGAAAAGAATGCTCTTAGAATCTCCATTTGCTGGTGGTATTGACACCTTCTTCAAGCAATGTCTGCAACTCACCAGTGGTATGCTTCTGGAATTTTCCGAGTATTTGTCTGTTCTCTGTAATAATGTCATATTTTACAAAAATGTAGGATTCCCACAAGATGATTGCACTTCAAACCGAGAAACATTTTGGCTGCTTGGAAGACTGGATTAGAGAACGGAATCAAAATTGTTGCTGGCAAAGTAGTTTAACTGTGCACCTGGTTTCATTGTTGTTTATTTAAACGTGTTCTTGCATCTTAATCCAAGATCTACTGAGCCTCTGTGTGTTCCTGGTTTAATCACTTCTCTGATCCTGTTTTAATACCCACAATCCTCAACAGCATCATTCACCCATTCATTCAACAAATGGGCTTCAAGCACCTACTTGGGGAAGGGCAATGGATGACACTGGGAGCCTTGTATGAAATGAGCTCTGGGTAGGTGACTCAGACACACACAGGATGTCACAGTGGATTAAGAGGCTGTGCATTCATTCTATAAATACAGAGCCCCTCTCAGGTTCCAGCAGGATGAAGATACATCTTGGGAACTTTGGCTGCAGCTTGAGAAGAGGCCACAGGTAGACACACCAAGGTGCAGGGGAGAGGCCATTCTTGGGAGAAATAATGTGATCAAAGACTTGGAGGGAGGAGACGCAGCTGTGAGTGGGGAAGGGTATATGTATATGCTGTTCTCCTTTGGGTGGAGAAATGAGATCGGGCTCCAAGGTGTAGTTGAAAGGCAAGCTGGGCCACATGGTGGCTGGCTTTGAGAGCTAAGGTGAAAAATTTGGAATTTTTGTTTTCTGTAACTAATGATAAGTACCTAGAGGATTTGGGGAGGTGTGCAATGGAATTCATTCAAGCTTGCTAGGACACCTATGAAATAGTCATTATTTGTGCTCGAGTTGGGGTAAGGAAGGGATGTTAGGGAAGAAGTCTTCATGGCTGAGACTAAATTTGTGCTGAGACTTGGAGGATGAATGGAAGTTATTCACTGAAGAGAGGAAGGAAATTCTAGGCAGAGGAAGGTATAATAGCAAAGGCAGGGAGGTGAGACGGTTATGCCTCCAGACATTAAAGAAAATATACTTTTTGGAGTCTACACCAGCAACTTTCCACAAATGGGGGTTATGGTTGCACTAGATCATTTCAGCCTCTAGAATCTGCCACCCTGGCTTTGAATAAGGCTGTGTAGTTCTTGAAGTTGTACCCTTCCTCAAGATACTCAAACTCTCCACGACTCATTGTTACCATCTGGAAGCTAGGAATACTAATAATGTAGAATTCAAGGGACTGTGATTAGATAATGCCTGACACTTTAGCAAAGGCCATTTCCCCTTCCTCACTGTATTTTGCTCACTGTAAAGTCATCATAGTGATACAGAATTAATAGAATCATATAACAAAGAATTATCATGAAATATAAATAATACATGTATGCAAAGTACCTCATAC